ACCCCCCTGAGCACAGGGAACAGCAGCACTCACCTCCCTGCTTGCTTCTGTCCAGGTAGATGGACACCCTGCGGGCCAGGCCTGTGGGAGACAGACAGACAGACAGACAGACAGACAGGGTGAGGGGTGCTGCTCAGGGCCAGCCAGAGCAGAACCCAGCCCCAGACAGGGAGCAGAAACACCAGCTCCAATGGAGGAATGAGAAAGAGAAGCAGCAGCAGCCAGAGCAGCCCATGGCTCCCTCCCTCCCTGCAGCACAGCAATTTTGGGAGGGCAGCAGGAGCAAGGAGCCCTGCTGGGGCTGGGGCTGCTGCCAGCACTGCCAGGACAGACAGACACACTGACAGACAGACAGGGAGCTCCTGGGAGCTCGGGGCTGCTGCCATGGCTCAGGGTTTGTGTGCCACAGCTGGGAGGGCAGCAGGGAAGCAGCTGTGCCAGCTCAGCTGTGCCCTCCCAGAGGAGATGGATATGCCAGTTCTGTGCCTGTTCTGTGCCAGTTCTGTGCCTGTTCTGTGCCTGTTCTGTGTCTGTTCTGTGCCAGTTCTGTCCTGGATGTGCCAGTTCTGTGCCTGCCTGTGCCAGTTCTGTGCCAGTTCTGTGCCTGGATGTGCCAGTTCTGTGCCTGCCTGTGCCAGTTCTGTGCCAGTTCTGTGTCTGGATGTGCCTGTTCTGTGCCCATTCTGTGCCTGCTCTGGGCTGCTGCCCCTCCCAGAAGATGAATTCAGGTATTACACATTCCCCTCTCCTTCTCTGAGAGCAGAAATGGCCCTGAAAGCCAAGTTCTGGCTGCTCTCAAGAGCAGTCCAGAGGTGAGTGTGACATTGTGGCACAGGGGAGAAGCTGGGAGAGAAGGAAGGAAATCAATAGTGGAGCAAACAAACTCCAGTAAAACTCCTGAGCTCTGCAGCTCCAAAATGCATCCTGAGTTCTGTGAGCAGGGCTGGACCAGCTGTGGGCTTGGCACAGATGGCTCTGAGGGCTCTCATCCATCTCCACGGGGACCTGCTCCACTTTAGCTCTTTTGAAGTGGCTGCATTTATTTCTCTCTCCACAAACAGCTCTGTCCTGCTCTGCTGCCCAGTGTGCTGGGAAGGGGCAAGGCACAGAAAACAGCCCCCAGACCGCTTCACTCCCTAAAGGAAAGAAAAGCCAAGGGGAAAAAACCCAATCCTAAAGAGAAGAGATTGCAAAGTTTCCCCAGTCCTGTTCTGGCAGATGGAAGCAGGCAGCTCCCAGAGCTCTCTCAGCAGAGAAATGCACTGAAGAGCTGCAAGGGCTGGGTCAGGCTCCTGGGATGAACACATCAGCTCAGAAATGAGAACTGTCAGCGTTTAAGGTCAGCATGAATGATGGTGGTCATCCCATGTGACCTCTTGCACAGCATGGGCCTCCTCATCAATCCCAGCAAGGGCTGACTGAGCCCCAGCACAGCCAGGGAAAGCTGCAGCCTTGATTAGAAATGTTCAAGTGACAGAGAATTGCAGCATTAGCACCTGGTGGGGTCTGGGAAAGAGGAACACCCGCTCCTGGAATGCTGCAAAACCTCCTTTAATGTCCTAAAACCTCCT